TATATATATATATATATATATATTCAATACTACTGATTTTCTATTTTTTTAATGAATAATCATCAATAAAAATATTACTTAAACTAAATAACTGTGTTGATAATTAGAATTTCAACATAACTTTTTTTTAATACATTTTACTTTTATTTCTAATTATTTAGTGTGAGGTGTAAAGGTTAATAGATGAGGTATACTGATATTACTTTTAGTTTTGTCTAACAAAAATGGTTGGCTTAAAAATTTTGAGGCATTTTGTAAGTGAGGTGTGTTTCTCAGCATGGGTGAGGCTTTCATCTCACCCTTAGATATTAGGTGTAAACGAATCGAACACGAACAAACAGAGCTCCTGTTCGTGTTTGGTTCGTTTGAAATTAAGTTTGTTTGAGATATGCTCGTGTTCGAAGTTGTCCATGAAGTTATTATTCGTGTTCGGTTCAATTTGTTTAAAATCAATTCGAAATGTTTGAAATATTCGAATTTTTTGAATTGTTCAAAATCTTTTAAATTTGTTTATATTATTTGAATTGCTTGAATTGTTAAAATGATAATAAATTTGATTATTAATTCTCAAATTACAAAAAAAAAATTCTCTATTAAAAAGATATTATTTCCTCAACTATATTGTTAGAAATTGTTAAAAACAAATTAAAAATGAAATATACTTTTAAAGTTTCAAATTCAAATTCTTAAAAAACTATAAATCATTATTATAAAATAATTAAGTAATAAATCATTATTTATTAATTATATAATGTGTTATATAAATATATAATATTTATACAACTAATATTAATATATTATTATTAAAAATTTAGTTTATATTATTATTTATAGGATTTAATTTTTTAAAATATGATTATATTTATATATATAATTATTTTAAATTATATTATATCTCGAACAATAATGAATCGAACATGATTGAACACATGACTATTCATGTTTGGTTCATTTATAAACCGAATGAAAAATTATTCGTGTTTGGTTCGTTTACACTCGAACGAAAAAAAATTGTTCATGTTTGTCTCGTTTGAGCAAACGAATCGAACACGAGTTCCCTGGCAAGCCAAACAAGAATTGTTTGCGAACAATGAGCTTTTTTGACAGCCCAATCTTTTTTTTTCTTTTTTTTTTGTAAAAAACATTAAGGTGTGCCTCATATTGTGCAATTTTAAACAAGGTGTTAAACCGAGTCTTTTAATTAGGGGGATTCATAGCAAAATATCATCATTATATTACAACTGAATAAAGCACGAATATTCCTTAAGTGCTTATCGCCTCTTGGTTTGTTAATTATAGGATGTGCTTAACAAGGCTTAAATTTTTTAGCTAAGGTTAACTCAAAATTACATATTTAGATAAACATCCACCCTAAGTCTATAAAGTTTAATTAGATGGTTCAATTCATTGATGCTAAACATGGATTTTTTGTCATATTCGGTCATCGACCTCCTCTGACTAAGTAAACTATGACCCATTACTACTCGGGATTATAAAAATCATGGGATCTTGATTGGGTTTATCATCATTCCCTTGCTATCTATTGTAACCTAAAGGTGGTGAATTTTTGCTGCTAAATGCTTAACATTTTGTATCTAATCACTAGCTTTAATCGAAAGTTCTCTCTTATCTGTGGGAGAAGCAATCAATCACAATGGTTTACTCAATTAGAAACTTGGAACCAAATTTTAAAGTCCTCACAAAATGCAAGTGAAATTTTCGGGTAGTGTCTTATCAAAAAGTTCTTTTTCCTTTTAAAATTTGACTTGGAACAAATCTAACGGGAGAGGTTGAGATGAATTTTGGAGCTCACACATTTTGAAAAACAATTAAAGGATGAGGAAATGATCATATAGACGTTAAGAATGCTCTGAAGTAGTGCATCCTCACATGAATAATACATGGCTAATTTAAGAATATTTTAATGTTTAGAACAATTTATAACATGGATTTTGCATGTTGAAATAATCTATGAAAACAAAAAAAAAGATACAACTCAATTGCAATAGGTATGAAGTAGAAATATTTTTGTTACAATTGCAATTCGCTGTCTGTCTAATCAATCTCAACATTCGCTCATCTTTGCCCAATTCGTACATGCCAAACACAAAATTGCATATAAGATGTCTACAAGACAATGTACTGAATTTCCTTGCTATCTTATACGGGCCACGACAGTGCCACTTGCACTATAGAGAATGGGGATGGGAAATTTTTTGAAATATGAGATTTGATGAAGTTCCTTTTGACTTTTGAAAGAGAGAGAATGGAGTTACCTTGAGAGCATCAAAAGATAGCTATTACTTCTTTAGCTGGAGTTGAGAATCAATGAGCATTAATGAGTATGCGTTATGTTGCAGTGATCAAGGGATTGTTTATTCAGCACCTGCCTACAGGATCCCAGAGTGCACAAGGACTGCTGCTGGAACACCTTTGGTGCAGGTGCCTTATAGTGGAATATGCTCTTAAAACTGTTATCATTCTCTACTATAAAGCTTTTCCTACACCAAGTTCACCATATTAATTTTTTTTTGTGTTGGCCAGCTACTATCTTTGACTGAGGGAGAAAGAATAACATCTATAATACCTGTTAGTGAATTTGCTGAAGATCAATACCTACTTATGCTGACTGTGAAAGGCTATATCAAGAAAATTTCGCTGAATCTTTTTTCTTCAATCAGAGCAACAGGGATAATTGCAATCCAACTGGTTCATCCCATTTTGGCCTTCTCTGTTTTCTCATTGTTTATTTATAGAATTGGAATTATTGCCCTGAAATGCAGCTTATGCCTATTTATCTTTTTTAACATGACAGATGCCTGGTGATGAGCTCAAATGGGTTCGTCACTGTGTAGATGATGATCTTGTTGCAATTGCTTCACAAAGCGGGATGGTCACCATTTCTTCCTGTAATCTGGTAAGGTTTCATATGAGGAAGGATTTGGGTACAGCTGATGCAAAAATTAGCATGTGGTACAAATTCCACAGTTGCAAGATATACAAGTTCTGTATTGAAAATCTTTTCCTAATCTTGTGATATTTCTCTTTAAATATCTGTGGTTTGCACGATGTTTTTTTAGGCAATGATTGATTTTTCTCTTTTTATAATTTTGCTTTCCTTATTTAAAGAATAACTTGTGTTTTGCAAGACTTAAGCTGAAGACAGTGGAAATTCTGGCAAAATGGGAACTCACTGAAAGTGTTAATTCTCCATTGTAAGAGTTTAATTGTTGACATAAATTTTGTTATTAAAGATGGTTGGAGAATTGGCAACTTTCTGGATGTCACTTTGAAATTGGTTTTGCGCAGCAGGCTAAGGTTTAATGTCTATTAACCACTTCATACTGAAGATTCCATCTCAATCAAGAGGAATGGTGAGGGACTGCGTATCATCCCTTTTGGAGTCGACACAAAGGACAAAGGGCGGTTTGTGATGGGGCAACAGTTGCAGTTAGATTAAATGAGAGAGGAGAAACCATGTCAAGGGGTTGGGCAAAGTGTGAGAAGGGACATCTTAGTCAGGTGGGGAAACAAGTGTGTGAATATGGGCTTGCTGGGCAAGGGTTGATTTAAACGGGAGAAAGGGGATGAGATGAAAGCTAGTCATACTATGGTCTTTGATATTTGTTACGCCCGCCTAAGGGAAATTGTTATTTATTAATCTAAGGGTAATTTAGTCTTTTGTTATTAATTATTGTATAGTATAATTCGGGTTAATATGTTTAGGGTAGGGGGCATGCATGAGATTATTGTCTGTGAGTTATGCTTAGAGTTTGGGAGAGATTTTCTTTCTCTCGAATTGTAGGAATCGGTAGAGATCGCCCACCTCTCGAATTGTAGGTATTTATTTTTTGTATTCGAGTTGAGTGTTTGATTTTATTGCAATAAAATATGTGTTTGCTCTAATTTATATGGAGAATCATGTCTTAAGTGTTATCAAAGCTATAGATTTCTGGGAGATCAACTACAAGCTCGCAACGAGATTTGTTCGTGACCTAGCCTTTTGAAACAATCGCTATTTGAGCAATCTGGGAAGACAACTTCGAGATCGGCTTGGGATTCAAACGCTAGTTGACCTAAGTTAAAAGCCAACGGTGGGATCGGCGTGTATAGATGTGATCCAACCCCTCTATACATCACACTATTGGAGCTTGTTGGGAAGACCGACGAGATCACAACATATATCAGCCACCCTTCGTGACCTAACTTGCAACGATTTTAGCGATATGTGAAGAGATGACGGGATCACAACGTAGTATGGGGTGGATCGACGTGATAAGTGCTAGCATCACGGTTGGAGGTAGTGGGGAAGCAACACGAGATTTTGATTTCCTTCGTGACTATATATCACGATACGGTCAGGATTAGAGCCAACTGAGAAGGCTGCCTGAGGACGCAATGAACAGGGACCATAAATTCTCATCTTTCTTCAGCTCTGAATTGGGTGTTCAACGAGAGTAGGCCTCAAATCAAATTGGATCGTGGGTGGCTTAATATCTTGTGATAAAAACGTGGTTTAGACTATCTCAAAATCACCAATGGCATTTCAATGTATAGAGGTCTCAATCTTTTGTGATCGAAAACTTTCTGGGGATTAATGATTGCCAAGAAAGTAGATAATTTGGAGAAGAAATCAGAGGAAGAGGTGAGCCAACTTAAATCCAGGATAGAGGAAGGTTTGCAACTATCGACAAAAGGTTTTCATCCATTGAAAACCGATTCGAGCGCTTGGACGAGATGATAAGGAGTCCTATTGAAATGCAATCCAAGTCCCTGCCTTCTGTTTGCAAAACTTAACCAAAGGTTGATCGGAGTTTCATTAGTTAAATCAAAAGGGAAAGAGATCAAACAAAAGGGACATGAGGAGGAACCTTTAAGAACCTCCTCTTAGGGTTCTGATGGAAAGTGGATTAGAGATTTCCAAAGGAGGCGGTTGGGCTTAAACATGGAGAAGGAGTTATACAAGGGGTATTGAGGAGCATGAGGAAGAAAGAAGAGAAGTCGAGATGAGGTAAGGCTATGTTTGAAAGAGAAAATTTTTCCCTTGACACATGGGGAAAACAACAGAGGGAGAGGAAGTTGGGATGAAGTTGCTAGGGTTAGGAAGTTGAAGATGTCGATCTTTGAGAGGTAAAACACCTGGTGAATAAGCTAAATGGGAAGGAGGAGCTCATGGCCGCAGAGTTATGTTTGGAGGGGAAAATTCTAGTGTGGTTTCAGTGGAGGGAGGTTTCATATTTGATCTGTTCATGGAAAGAATTTAAGGATTGTTTGTTGGAACATTTCTAAGTCATTCGGGAAGGTGACTTACACGAACAATTCTTTGTATTGACTCAAGAAGGGTTTCTCATGGAGTATAGAGAGACTCAAGTTACTGTCGGAATGGTTGAGGAGATTTTTGTAGTACTGGAGGTAAATTTCATGAAGGGTCTAAAATCTGAAATAAGTGCAACATTCTGACTTTTGAGACCGCGGAGATTGGGGGAGACGATGGAGCTACTCCAGATGGTGGAGTACAAGAACCAGGTGGAAAGGCCGATAGAAGCAACACCTTGGGAGAATTACACAAGAGTAACTCGATGACTATGGCACTGAGGACCCATATGGTGTCATTTCAAGGGGAGGAGCCAAAGGTGATGTAACGTTATCATTTCTGTACCCCAGGAGAGAGAAAATGAGGAATTAGAGAAGAAATGAAAGGTCGGGCAGCCAAACAGAGGGAGAGGAAGCAAGGGGTCAGAAGTCTAGGAGATGAGTGCACATTTAAATAGACAGGAGAGTCAAAAACTTACCAGGAGAGCTAAAGTCGCGTGCAGGTTCGATCGAAGGAGCCTCACGTGCTACATCTTTGTTGTGTCGAACTCTTGCGAAGGAAGGTCGGAGGGAGGAGATCGGCTTCTTGTACTGCTGTGGGTTGAGCCACGACTGAGGAAGGAGAAGGCAGCGTCGATCACTTGTGATGTCAAGTTGAATTGCGGTTGAAGAAGAGGTCTCTCTGTGCGCTTCTCTGGGTCGAACCGAGATCTACGAAGGAGAAGTGCATGCACTTGGAATTCGATTGAAGGAATCGTCGAGCTTCATTGTGCGAAGGAGAAGCAAGGAAGAAGGGAGTTGAAGCCAAAGGAGGAAGCGTCAAGCTGGTCTCTTGCATGCGAGTAAGAAGAGGAGTCCTGCGATTTTACTTCTGTCGCGGGGAGGCTGTCGAGCCCTAGCCTGGTTTGAGGAAGAGACGAGGGAGATCGACATAAGTGGTAAGCGTAGTTTTTTTAAATTATTTTAGTGATATAATAATAATAATAATAATAATAATAACAATATTATTATTATTATTATTATTATTATTATGAAAGATTTATTTCAAATATGAAAATAATGTTTACAATTACTTTTTTGAGTGGACATTTATTGGATATTGAATAAAACCGTAAATGTTGATTTAGTTGAAGTTTTGATAGTCAAATTTTAGTAACAGGAATACCTAAAATAAAGCATCTAATCAACAATTAAAGTTAAATAACTAAGAGATTAATGAAGCATAATTAAGAATATGCTTAAGATTATATTTTTACGTTATTGTAGACAGCTAACTATTGGAGGCTAAGATTAAACGTGTTTAAAACAAGTCATACAACTTTGAGGCGAGTACTATTCTTAAATTATAGCACCATTTTGATATCTCTTTTAAACCAATTTTATGAGTTGTTAATTATGCTTGATTAATGCAATTGTTTTTTCTATTATTAAATTTTATCTGTCTCTTCGATGCGACTGCTTATAATCTCATAATATGAAATAATTAATGCATTATAATTAAGTGATATGAAATTATGAATAATATGATTTATATAGATTGCTTGTATATGCATAACTGAGTATGGAGTCACCTCTTGATTATACTATTGAGAGAGCATTAATATACTCGTGCACGTATATGAGAAAGGATATTGATATTGAGGTACCTTAAGCGTTACAAATTTTTAGACGGTGCTCATGTGACGATTGTATATGTATGAAATGATATTGTTATGATAATGATATAAACTCTTTCAATAGTATTTTAAATGTTTATATTGATTTAGTAAAGAAGCTTAACTGACATACGTATTATTCTTTTTTCTTGTATTATTATAGTTTAGGAATATAAGTATTCATTGGCTTGTTTAGCTCATTTTTATTTTAAATTAATTTTTCAGGTTAATTAATTGATTAAAAGATGAGCGATAAAAGGAAAAATTTTTATAGAATACACGAACAACCAGTAACAATATAATTTTAAATATATTGTTTTAATCTAATTTGATTAGTGAATATTTCATTTATTAAATTGTAGACGAATATAAAAGATTTAATTTCCACCGTCCGATTGTCTGTTCCCGTCTTGGTTAATTCCAAGCCTCGGGTGTGGTCGTGACGGACGAAGAATATTTGAGTTCGTTTAGGGGTTAACTTCAAGCGCCTTACAGAGACAAATTTGGGAGAAGTAAATGAGTTATGTTTTATGTGTGATGAAAAGTTTGCCCCATGACCCCTGTTACGAGGATCGGACATATTACAGGTTCTCATAGCATGTAAAGAGGAGGTAGGTGAGCTTTATTCAGCAGTAGTTTTTTTTTTTATCTACTTTGAGGACAAGGTGTTTTTTTTTAGAGGGGAGTATTGTTTCGCTGAACTATGCCCCTAAGGGCATTTTTTTCTTTTATTAGCCTAAAGGAAATTTAAATTTTTGTTAATTATTATTATTTAGTATAAATATGGCTAATATTTTTAGGGTTAGGGGGTATGCATGAGAATATTGTCTGAGAGCCTTAAGGTTAAAGTTTGGGAGATGTTCCTACCTTTCCAATTGTAGCAATTGGGAGAGATCGCCTACCTCTCGAATTGTAGGTGTTAATCTTTTGCATTCGAGTTGAGTATTTGATGTTATTTTTAATGAAATATGTGTTTGCCTAATTTTGGTAGAAAATCATGTTGATTTGTGTGTTGAATCATATTAATATCATGTTGAAGAGGGGAAAATTAGTTGTGCATATGTTAACTTATAGAAGTGCCTGTAAGTAGGCGAAGTGCCTGTAAGTAGGCGAATAATGTAAATACAAAGGAAAATATTTCAATTATGAGAATCATATCTCCAATTAATAAACTTATTTAACTTTTCCTTAATTTGACTACTTACTATCCTGTACTTTTGGATGAAATATATCTTTTATCATTTAGCATGTTTGCAATAAATTCATTCTACTTTTATATTTGGCAATATAACTCAATGATATTGTAATAGAAGTGTGAAAATATTTAGGAGAGTGAATTTTTTGGCTTAATAAATTTTTTAATATTTTTTTAAAAACTAAAAATATGTCTGATGAATGGAGAAAGTGTCTATTGGTTCATATTTTTAATAATAAAAGAGATGCATAAGACTGTAAATTATAGAGGAATCAACTTAATGTGTCATACATAAATTTTATGGGAGAGTAATTGAACATAGGTTACAACGTGATACAAAAATTCTCAAAATTATTAGAATCCTGTCGGCCAAGTCTACTATGGAAGCTATATATTTATTGAGAGGTTTGATGGAAAAGTACATAAAGAGTAAGTAGGTTCTAAATATGTTTTTTGTTGATTTAGAAAAAGCATATGATAATGTTTCAAGAGAACTTTGGAGAGTTCTACTTAGATAATCATTAATATTGTTTATATTCAAATCATTAAATATATGCCTACTAGAGTTGTTACTTGTGTTTGAACATAAGTAGGATTGATCAAGTATTTTCCTAGTTTAGTTGGATTGCATCAAGGATCGGCTTTAGGCCCACATCATTGTGCTTTAGTTATGGATATTCTTACTAGACATTTGTAGGAGGATGTACCTTGGTGTATGCTCTTCACTGAGGATATCTTTTTGATGGATAAGACTAGAGAGAGTTCAGAAAAAACATGAATTATGGAGGTCAACTTTAGAACCTAAAGATTTTCGTTTGAGTAGATCTAAAATTGAATTCATTGAATGTAATTTTAATAGTAGTAGATTTTTTGGCGGGGTTGTAACAATTAGTGATGGAATTCTTGAACTCGTCAAATTGGATGGATTTGAGAGTTAGACAATTCCTTTCATCAAACTTGTAAGGTAGAGGCTCTCATACTATGGTCGTTGTTATGGCTTGTTGAGTAATAAGAGCATGCTCCTTCACCATGACCATTTTATGACTTGTTGAGTGAGTAAAGTTGTTAGTGACTTGGTCATATTTGTGCTTGTTGAGTCCGGCCTTCTTGACTTACTTGAGTTTTAGACTTGAGATATGATAGAACTTGCATCCTTCCAATTTGAGTCATCAGAGCTATTGTTCAAAGTGATGGTGATATAGATGGGGATGTTATTAGTAGAATTCAAGTTGGGTGGCTGAAGTGGAGGATTGCATTGTGCCTATTGTGTGATAGAAAAGTACCGCTTAAAATTTAAAGGAAAATTATAAGATGATGGTGAGACCTACAATCTCTTGTGACGCAAAAAGTTAGCATGTAAAAGAGAAGCATAAATTAAGTGTTCTAAGATGAGCATGCTAAGTTGGATGAGTGGCTTTACACTCAGAGAAAAAATGCGAAACAAATATATTTGTGAAAGGGTTGGAGTAGCTCCAATGCTAGACACAATCAGAGAGAGTTGTCGTAGATGATTTGGTCATATTAAATGTCGTCCATCTGATGACCCAGTTGGGAAAGTAGATTTTAAGATTTGACTTTTGTTCAGAAAGTTAGACATAGACCTTAAAAAACTTGTGCTTGTTGTAAAAAAATGATATTAATTTATTAGAATTAAATGAAAGTATGACACTCAATAGGACACAATGGAGAAAAAAGATTCATGTAGGCGACCTCACTTAGTAGGATAAAAGTTTCGCGACCTCACTAGGATAAAAGTTTCTTATTGTTGTTTAAATTTGGCATGTTACATCGGTAAAAGTAATTCTTATTTCTTGAAAGCTGATTTTCTGAATTTTCTTTGAATTGGAAAAACTAATGCATAAACTTAATAAAAGAACAATAATCAAATTTGTTAAAATCTTTTGTTTTGTAATACCTAAAAATTTTGCTGATTGTTTATCTACTATGTAATGATATTATAATATCCGAACCAGCTTCGTGTTCTTGGGAGGAAAACAAGGGGTGTAAATTCCATGAGATTAAAAGAAGGGGACCAGGTAGCATCCATGGACATCATACCTTCTGGGATGAGGAAAGATTTTCCAAGAGATTCAGATGTTCCTTGTATCAGGTGATTTTTTATGACACTGTTCATATATTCTTCGTCTAATTTATTAAGAGTTTCTTTTTTGGATTCTCTTTGCTGAAAAATAATACCTTCCAAGAATGCATTTACATCTGGCATGATGCTATGTGCAAGTTGCAAGGTTTACTATGATAATTTATAGTTTGCTTTTATCAATTGTACAACACTTGCTATATGAGATCACCGAGAACAGCATATGCGACACTTATCCTGCTGCAATGGAATTTCTCCTTATTTTTTAGCAGGGGTAGAGATACTAGTCCTCCCTGGCTGTTATTTTTGTCAGAAAGTGGCCATGGGAAGCGGGTACCTCTAAGTGGATTTCGCCTGTCAAGATTTAGATCAGTCGGCTTGATTGGCTATAAGGTACAATTTACTTTTAAGCATATATAATTCATATTATATTTAGTCCCACTTCAATGTAGAAACTTTATGTTATTGATAAATTGATAGTGTAGAAAGTGGCCAAACTATGCACCTCTTCAAGCATTTTTTGGTTATGTATTAACTTGGCAATATCTTTGTTCATTTTTTTGACTTACCTTTCCTAACATACATAATTTCGGGGGCAGCAGGGTTCTATTGCAACAAATGCAATCAAAAAAAGATTTAAATAAAAAATAAATGTTAGATTCCAATTATATTCGCAAACAATGAATAATCTAGTTTTTTATTTTGTGTAAGTTGGTATGTGACCTTTGAATTGAGATCAATTGGATCCATGATTATTTAGAACCGCTTATTGAAGTAGAAAATATTGCATCCAGTCGTCCATATGTGCGTACGATCAATGGCCGAGCGACAGCTTGGCATGGTTGGCAGCCACCTCATCTATGAATGAAGTGTATGTCGAGCTATCGCCCCACATCTGTACCTGCAGACGACAGACAGAATATTTTGTCCTATTGAATTGTTTTTTATTTCTTTTGAGCTTGTGTTAGCTCTGAGAATGCAGCTTTGCATTAACTTTTATTAATATTTTTTAAAGCAAAAGAAATTATTTTCATTCAATGAGAAGAATACAAGCGAAAAAAATGTAGAAGATTGCGAGATAAAAACCTTAAAATTAAATACACCATTAAGGCCAATTATATAGCAACAAAACACGAGCCATTTGTCAGGCGAGAGGTACCCTGATGGTCCTCTTTAGAAACATCTGATTTGAAGTCTAGTATATTTTGAAGAGCAGCGACATATTTTGTGGCCAAGTTTTGCCGATTCTGTCATAAATAATTTGAAACTTTCATCAATATTTGGATGTTATTGAAGGCCAGCCTAAGTATTGTGAAGCTTAAATATGTCCAAGTGTAGTTCAGTGCCTTGCATAGCAAAATTTTCTGTTTCTGTTTTATGTTTTATATGCCTGTAAGGCTTAATCCAATTATAGGTGCGAATTAGCATCTTATGCTTGATTGTCTAGGCTCATTTATAACTTGGCTAAGTTTGAAGTGTCATGTTGCTCTTTATACACTAGCTGGACAATCTGTAGCACTGCAACATGTGTGCTCGTCATTTGTGGCGGCAGTCTGGCACCTCTTAGAATACATGTTTTGTAACGGGAATGCTAATATTTATGATACTTATATATATAGAATGCATGTTTTGTAACAGGAATGCTAATATTTATGATACTTCTATATATAGCTCTTCTATGCATGTAAATTTTGAAGGTACAACAACTTCCTAAACTTGCATAAACTTGAGAAAAAACTCTTTCAGGGTTTATTTAAAGCAATAATGTATTTTGTTAAATCCATCCTCTAGTTGGATGTAGTTAGGCACTTATATTTTAATTCAAACTTTACAAAAATTCTCAAAACTCCCTCAAAAGTGATGATTTCATTGTTTGCATTCAAAATAAGGAGAAACATAATGATCTTTTTTTCTAGAACTAGTTTCCTATTTACAAGCAACCAAAAAAACCTATGGGTATTCAATTTTCTAGTCCTTTTTCCCCAAATTTCTTGCTAAATTTGTTCCTTCTAGAAATATCATCTGTCATTCTAGTCCAACTGTTATCCAGCTTTAACGTCATTCAATATTTTAGTAATTTTGTTTTTTTTACAAATTCTAAATGTTTTCCTTGCACATATGAACTTGCAAGTTAAATTTGATTGCTGCTCTATCTTAACTCTATTATACATTTCCATAATTTTATGAAATCAGCTTCAAACGGATGATCGGCTAGCTGCAATGTTTGTTGTTGGATATTCGTTGGAAGGTACCATAGCCTGCAATACTGTGCTAATCTCTTGTTAAATAAGCTTCCGCTTTTGACTTTTGCATGCTCTTTAAGCACTTCTAACGCTCTACCTGCAGAAGATGGGGAAAGTGATGAACAGGTTGTTCTCGTTAGTCAAAGTGGAACTGTTAACAGAATTAAAGTTAGGGATATTTCTATCCAATCACGCTATGCTAGGTAACTGGTCTCAAGAGTTACATGTAATTTTACTTTTGTTTAATTTGGAAGTAACTTTTTTGGTCTTGTATCCTCCAAGTGTTTTCTAAAAACTTGGAGATTTTTTTTGAAATATAAGATTTTCGGAGTCCTGAAAGACTAGAAATATGTTAGAGAAGGGATGGGTTTTTTAGACCTTGAATTTGCTTTGGAAGGGGTGCGATACATGGCCAATTTTTTTCCTATAGTGCGGGCACTTGTGACGTATACTGCAGATAATATTAAGCGTAACATACTTTCGCATGATTTCTTTGCAAAATGTTTCAATTTGCTGATGATATTTTGAGTATTGTTTTTTAGCGGACTAAACATTTTTGGCGAACTATAAGATGCACCAAAGCTTCTATCAACAAACCTGGTACCCTGAAAGGAGGAAATCTATTCATACAATAATGCCTTATAATAATGAACTACTGTTCATGCATGTTAATCACTTCTTTAAAATTAGGGAAAGTAGATTGAAGTTCTCGAATTGTCCCTCATTTGTTTTTATTCCTATTTTTGAAAGTAATATCCATCAGTTATTTTCAGTTAAAAATGTTGTTTTTTATTCCTCTTTCTTCCAAAGTAATTATGCTTTTTGGTGTCAAATCTGATTAGGAATTATCAGATTTGCTTCATTGCTATCTACTCTTTCATGAAATATGTTTTTGACAACTAAATTGATATTAGGGGTGTTATTCTCATGAGATTGGAACATGCTGGAAAGATCAAGTCTGCTTCACTAATTTCAGCATCAGCACCAGAGGAAGCTGAGCTAGAAGATTGAAGTGTAAAGCTGAATAGGTACAATTTTTGGCTGCATTGTTATGCAGGAATTGATATTTTGGTGCAGAATGGTTAGCTTTTGCTAGATTTATGTTAAGTTTTAGCCATAGCGCCAACCTTAAAAACTGTTTCAGATTCAGGCAGGAGCAGTTTTGTCAACAAATGGTCATTGTAATCTTAGCGAGCAATTTAATCAGAAGAAATCCATTTTGGCAAGCGAAAAGTTTCTTAAGAGTGCTTATTTTATTATGATATCATATACTAACTATTTATTGGTAGAACCATAGCAGAAATTACTTTTCCACAATAAAATGTAGCATTGTAATTAAAGATAAATATTAGGGCTGCATGTCGAAAGTGATTTTTATTTTTATTTAATTTTCCTAAAATGAAAATTGAGAAAATAATTCCCCACAGAATTTTGCCAAGTGATAATCCTGTCTGCTGATGCAAAATATCAGTAAATTAAAAGGCTGTTCACTTTCTATGCATTTATTCTGTAATCAAATTTAAAACTAGTGTATTTAATATCAAAGAATTCGGAAATATGCACAAAGTGCAAAGTTTTGCTGGCAAAATTTTTAGAACATTCATTTAACCGTATAAGATTAAACGGTTATACGTTTATCCAAATTGCATCAATATAGATCCAATTCATGGCATCATAATTCAACATTGAAGCCCCCGGTAGGGCGTAAAGGAGTCAAGCCGACTTGTGAGCCGGCTTGAGCTCGGCTCGATAAGTGGCTCGTGAACTGAGCTCGACGAGCTAACAAGTCAAGCTCAAGCTAACTAGTTTAAAAAGATTGATATAAAATATCGTTTAAATGTATAAAATTTTAAGAATTTATCTTTAAGGTATTAAAAATGTCTAAAAACTAATATTTAGTATTGTATCTTAGGTGATTTCTTATTATCTTTCTTTGAGTTGTTCATTTTAATTGGTATTTTATTATAATTCTAGCTTAAATTATTATCTTTTTCTCTCATTTATAATAAACAGACTCACGAACCGGCTCGAACTCATTAGCTTAAGTTCGAACCTGAGCTCAAACTTAATAAAATTAATCATTCTCCAATCAAGGGACAGCTCGACCAGACTCTTACACTACTAGCCCCCAACATGGTTCTTACATTGGCAAGCAACCATTGAGAGGATAACTTGTACTTTTTTAGAAAGCATGAGCTTTTCAAAAAATTTCACAAAAGGTCAATTCCACATGTAAGTGATTTTTATTGGCTCCACAATTTGAAGAATGAAAAAAATCACTGAAGTTGAACTTTAATTGACGACTAGGAACTCTATTTTTTGACGCACTGGTGGGAAGTTGTAACACTTAAGGATGGTTATAGTTGATCTTTACAAGCTTACAAAACATATGCAATAGTGTTTTATTATCATTATAATAATGATGATTATTATTATTATTATTGTTTGTTTTTTTTTTTTTTTTTTTTTTTTTTTGATAGGATGAGTGTTTGAATGTAACACTAGGATTTTTCACTTTGTTTCCAATCCATAATTCATGTAATAGCTACAACACCAATAAAATTATGCTGATTAACATTAACAATTTGGGATGACCTAATATTATGGTGATTACAATATTAATTTATCACATACTTTAATAAAGCTTGCATTTGCATCATCATACTCTATTGTCCAGCAGATGACAACAAAGACGTAGTTTTGCAGCATGCTTTTTGGTTGGTTTTATCACTTGCTCTTCAATCAACTATATTACTTGCACATCTATTTCCCTAATGTCAACTTTTTTCCCAACACTATTTTGTGTATTGTCAATTGATGTTCAATTTTATTTGTTCATAATGTCATTTGGTATGGCTTTATGGTCTTCTCAACCGATCATGTTGATCCTGCCTCGTCCTATGATCTCATTGTTAAATAACCGGCATGCACTTCTTATTTGACTTTTTCACCCGCATTATTGCATTGTATTACGTAGCAAATTGCATTTGCTACAACTCTTCATGAAGCTTTGTAATTAGGGGCGGGCAATCGATCAATTTGAATTATATTGATTTACAAATTAGGCTAAGTAAATAAAATTGAAATCGCAAATCTAAACCAAGCTGGTTGATTTTTTTTTAACCATATTGATTCATGTCGAATCAAAATATAATTCAGCTTAAACGGTTTGATTTTGAGCAAGCTTATAACTTTATGGCTGAAACTATAAAAAAAAAATTAAGTTTATGCTTTAAAATTAAAAATTTCAAATCTTTTTTTATTTATTCACGGTCTCTTCAATTATAAACAATTTCAAATCAATCCAAAATAAGCATGTTTCATGCTTAATTTAATTTCTTTTTAAGAATTTATTTTTTTTTAAATTTTAATATTATTCGGTTTTTAGGTTTATTTGGTTTAATGAGGTTTAAAATTGATCCAAAATTAAAAATCAAATATTAAAATTTTTATAACAAAAATTAAATTGCTATTTCAAATTTAAACTCAATTAAATAAGTTTGGTTCAAATCATTTTTTCTTTTTTTTGACAAAATAATGCACACCATTATTTGCAACTCACTCAATCACTCGTGCAACTTCATCACAAGTAGCAGGACCAATCTTACCAACGAAAATATTCACCATAACTTTTGTATCATCTATAACTTCGTTGTTCACTAGATATGTATAGCTATATCAAATGCTTCTTGGCCTAACACTTAGTCGAAATTATAGCTTTATTGACCATTTCATATATTGCTTCACTAAACACAGTCATGCTTATATCTTCAACTTCTTAGTAGTGTTTTTTTTCAGTTTTCTTGACAGCTTCATTTCTAATTACTAAGCCTCTTAATTTAGAATTTCATCTCTAGATTAAGATTTATGAGTGCTGAGTGGTATTTGAACTCTCATTTAATAAATTTCCATTCTCTTTCACATGGGCAATCGCCAACACTAACCACAAAGTAGTAAGATTGGTTGTCAGTGAATTTAATGTTTATTTTAATTAATAGATTAATACTTTTGTGGTTCAGTTGGAATTTGGTGTCATTTGATTAAATACTCTTAGAGAAAAAAGTGTTTTTTAAAGAAATGTCTAAAATATTTTCGATGGGGTTAATAAAATAGAAATAAAAAAGATATATTTAAACTTTGTGAATTGAGGCATCCAAAACTATAGGAAAACTTTTTTGGACTATGAAATAACACACATAATCAAGTATAACTTCTAGTGCATAAAATGGATTAAGAGATGGACTAAAGGATAAAACAACAATTTTATTATGGTTCTTCTGTGAACTAAACACACAGTAAAGTGAACGAATTTTTATGCTTGAACCTTTTTTCTAGTCGACTATAATCCAACTTTCGTTTTCAATCAGAACACCTTGTGGCTATGTTAAGTTGCACTTTGACTTGTAAATGCTTATTTTAGTAGTAATTGTTTACTCATAGGGGTCATAGTTTCACAGAACATATCTTCTCATTCTTAAATATATTCAAATACATGTTCTAATGTGGATTTTCTTTTCCTTAATAGAATCTTGTGCTATCTTAAATTGAATCAATAACCATTTTTTGATACCAAAAGTTCCCTTGATTCAAACTTTGACATTTAACTCTCCTACTCCTTACTTGAGGTTCACCCAATCCCATCAATAGGATTTTTCCTTTTTTTTCCTTTATAGAACCAAAAACCTAATGAGAAAGCTAAAGCTCTAATAGATTTTTTGAAGAACAACAAAAAGGGCTGCAATTTCTCTAGTTGGTGCTAGTTCTGATAAGGTAAGCACAAGAGCACTTTGATCTTCTTGACACTTTAGCTTAAGTCCTCCTAAGAGGTTTCATTATAGTCTCTTTCATTCTCTGTGTGATAGGATCAATGATGGTGCCCTGCCTAGGAAGGATTTGCTTTTAATAACTTTTTTTATATCCTTTGTTAGAACCATCTTTTTCCTTAAATGCTACCTTAATTAGGATTTTCTCACGAATCATTTCAGCTTGTCATGCTTTGATCTTTACCTCAAAGGATACGACTTTAATCACTTCTAAAGGGAAGTGAAACTTGTGCTCTTTCTTCCTTATCGACTAGGCCAATTGCAACCTTCTACCAAAAGGAGTTTATGGATTTGTCTTTATCCTACATATTTATGAAATATTGAAACCTTTCTTTTTTAATAAGAGAAGTTTTGAAAAAAAAATCAATGGTGGGAAATACTTCTGCCCGTCCCAAGGATTGTAATCGAGTCGAGACGAGCATGTTGTGGATTAGACTTGGCTTAGTCATATTATAAACCTTTAATGTTAGCTTGAACTTAAGCCGAGCTTTCGCATGTATGCTCAAATTGTTTATTTAAATTTTTTTAACAATTGTACTTGAATTATCGTTAAGCATTTACTTCAACAAGTTACAAATGGCTTTTAAAATAAAATTAATAATAAATAATTCAAAAATCTAAACAAATAAACAATCAAATATATTTCAAATTAGTAGCTAACTAGTCCACAACAATTTAAAAAGATAATATGAATTGCAAATAAACTTTCTTGCAATCTATCAATATAGGTAAATACTAACAATTTTATTCTTTGAAATAAAGGAATAAGATTGATTATATAAAATTAATATGCATAGTGATGTTGAATCATAATATATTATTTATAAATATATAATTAAATGATTTCAAAAATGATATGAGTGTTCTATCAATGATCTTTGGACATATGATGTTTAGATGAGCCTTTCTCTTATCCACTTTAAGCGATACAGAACATGCATTATGCATATGCTATTATTAGAACATCTCATTATAGTGAATATTGTTAACTTGCAAAATACTAAAAATGATAAAGTGCAGGCTACATATATCCAAAAGACTAATGGCATGGAGTCCACTTTATACACATAGTTGTGTACCTATCACATTGGTTTTCTACATCAATACTACAACTAGTAATTTCTCCAAAATGTAAAGAATGGAAAGGTGGTTGAAAACTTATATTTGAGTGTTTGGAACTTATATTGATCTCTTAAGATGTTTGACAAATAAACAATAATCATGGAATTTATTCTGCTCGGTTTCTAGAGTGATGCTTGTTGTTGTATATGAAAAGAGTTGGTAGTGAAATCATGACTCATGAATCACTACAGGATTTCAATTGATTTTTTACAGTAAAATGTCACCAAAAATAATTAAAATATCATAGGACATTTATTAAAAAATTCGAGGACTTTCTAATG